TCATTCGTGATATTGGCCTGAAGTTTTCTTTCTTTGTCGTGTCTTTATCTAATTTTGGAACTAGGATGATGCTGGCTTCATAAAAAGAGTTTGGGAATCTTCCATCATTTTGGATTTTTTGGAATAGTCTGTGAAGAATAGGAGTTGGCTTTTTCATAAATGCTTTATAGAATTCTACTGTGAAACCATCTGGTCCAGGGCTTTTGTGTGACGGGAGTTTTTTGATTACTGCTTCAATTTCATCAGGTGTTATTGGTCTGTTCAGGCTTTCTGCTTCTTCTTCATTGAGTTTCGGAAGATTATATTTTTCTAGAAATTTGTCCATTTCACCTAGGTTTTCAAATTTCTTGGCATACAGTTCATAGTAATTTCTTACAATTCCTTCTATTTCTATGGTGTCAGTTATAATATCTCCTGTTTTATTTCTGATTGTGTTTATTTGGGTCCTCTCTCTTTTTTTCTTGATGAGCCTACTTAATGGCTTGTCGATTTTGTTTATCTTTTCAAAAAACCAGCTCCTGGATTCATTGATCTTTACAATTGTGCTTTTAGTCTCTATGTCATTTAATTTTGCTCTGATCTTGGTTATTTCCTTCCTTCTACTTGCTCTGGGCTGTCTTTGTTGTTGTTTGTCAAGTTCTTGTAGGAATAGGGTTAGGTTGTTTATTTGAAATATTTCTCTCTTTTTTAGATAGGCCTGTATTGCTATGAACTTCCCCCTCAGGACTGCCTTCGCTATGTCCCATAAGTTTTGGGTTGTTGTGAGTTCATTTTCATTTGTTTCCAGAAACTTTTTGATTTCTTCCCTAATTTCATTCTTGACCCATTTGTTGTTTAATAGCATGCCATTCAGTCTCCATAATTTTGGATGTTTTGGTTTTTTTCCTTTGGGGTTGGTTTCCAATTTCAGTCCCTTGTGGTCGGAGAAAATGCTTGGTATGATTTCAATTTTCTTGAATTTGTTGAGGCTTGTTTTGTGTCCTATCATGTGGTCTGTCTTCAAAAATGTTCCATGTGTATTTAGCTTCTTTGGGATGAAGGGCTCTATGTATATCAGTTAAGTCCATTTTATCTAGGGTGTTTTTTAATGCCACAATATCTTTGTTGATATTTTGTTTGGAGGATCTATCCATTTTTGACAGTGATGGGTTAAAATCCCCTACTATAATTGTGTTGCTGTCAATATCTTTCTTGAAGTCCCCTAAGATTTTCTTTATGTATTTGGGTGCTCCTATGTTGGGTGCATATATATTTACAATGTTAATGTCTTCTTGGTAGATTCTTCCCTTGAGTATTATGAAGTGACCTTCTGGGTCTCTCTTTATGACCCTTTTTTGGAAGTCTATTTTGTCTGATATGAGAATTGCTACGCCGGCTTTTTTTTCTTGTCTGTTTGCTTGGAAATTTTGTTTCCAGCCCTTCACTTTCAGTCTGTGATGGTCTTTTGTCCTGAGGTGGGTTTCTTGTAGGCAACATATGTGTGAGTCATGCTTTCTTATCCATTAAGCTATTCGATGTCTTTTGATTGGAGCATTTAATCCTTTTACATTTAAGGTTATTATTGATAGGTACTTACTCATTGCCATTTTTGTACCTGTGTTCCTCTCTGTCTCTCTCTTTTCCTTCCTTTCCTTAAAGCAGTCCTTTTAGCATCTCTTGCACAGCTGGTTTGGAGGAGGCATATTCTTTTAGACTTCTTTTGTCTGGGAAGCTCTTTATTTGGCCTTCTATCTTGATTGAGAGCCTTGCTGGGTAAAGTAGCCTTGGTTGTAGGCCTCTGGTTCTCATTACTTGGAATATTTCTTGCCATTCTCTTCTTGCTTGGTGTATTTCCATTGAGAAGTCAGTAGCTAACCTTATTGGGGCTCCCTTGTATGTTACTTCCTTTTTCTCCCTTGCTGCCTTTAGGATTCTCTCTTTGTCTTGGAATTTTGCTATTTTAATGATGATGTGTCTTGAAGTGGGCCTCTTTGGGTTCCTCTTGATTGGGACTCTCTGTGATTCCTGGATTTGTGTGATTTTTTCTCTCCTCAAATCAGGGAAGTTTTCCATCATTACTTTTTCAAATAGGTTTTCTATCCCTTACTCTTCTTCTTCTCCTTCTGGTATCCCTATTATTTGGATATTATTACGTTTCATATTGTCTTGCATTTCTCTTAGTCCCTCTTCATTCTTTCTGAGCCTCTTTTCCTTTCTTGCTCTTTCTGGGAAATTTTTTCTACTTTGTCCTCCAACTCATAGATCTGATCTTCTGCTTCATTAATCCTGCTTTTAATTTCTTCTACTGTGTTCTTCTGTTCAGAGATTGTATTCTCCATTTCCTCTTGGCCCTTCCTGATGGTTTCTATTTCCTTTTTCATGTTGATATAGTTTGCAGTGAGTTCATTGTAGCTCCCCTGTAGTTTCTGGTAGCTCATTGTGAGTTCTTTGAATTTCCTGATAACCAGTGCTTTGAATTCAATATCTGATAGTTGACTTACCTCTATTTCATCTAACATTCTTTCTGAGGCTTCCACCTTTTCTGTCATTTGGGGATTGTTTCTTTGTCTTCCCATTGTTTGTGAGACTCTTCTTGTTTGCCTCAGCTTCTTAAATTGGTCTGTTCTGACTCCCTGGGTTTATGGTGTGAATTTCTGTGGTAGAATACCTGTGAAATTCAGTGGTGCAGTCTCCTTCAGGTATCTTGATGTTCTCCGATTCTACCTACGTGTGTGTGTGTGTGTGTGTGTGTGTGTGTGTGTGTGTGTGTGATCAGCTGTAGCCGTCTGGTCCATCTGTCACAATCTCTGGTCACTTATTTTCATAAATGCTGGGGAACTGTTGGTTGATTGCGCTGTTCCTCAGTAGATCTGCCAGGATTTTCTCCCCTGGATATGGGAACTGAAATCACTCTGTCCTACTCTGTCGCCATCTGGGCTGCAGGCCAGGTCCCCAGTAGAGGGCATGAGAGAGGCAACCACACATTGACATTTCTCTTCCTCTCTTTTTCCTTCCCTTACCCTCTCTTGTAGTGCAAAATTTTTTTCCCATCAGCCTTCTTGCCTGCTGGAGAAGGAAAAGCCAACTCTTTTGTAGGTGTTTCTTTAATTTCCCAATGGGTTTCTTGTCAGTCATTCACGTTCTCATAGGTTTGGATGCTCAGAAGGTCCACTCTTCACTGCTCAAGATTCTTAATTACATCTGTAAGCACACTTTTTCAAACTCAGTTCACAATCATAGGTTCTGGGGTTAGGATGTGGGCACACCTTTTGTAGGGGTACCATTCCACTTCAGGTTTTGTTGGTTCTGGAGAGAGTGGGGGCAGAGGGAGTGCAGACAGCAAGCATGTCTAGAGCTAGAGGGCAAGACTGAATCACATTTGCCTGCTGAAAGCAAGGATCCTGCTATACTCAACTCTTTGAGCTGGATGCAGTAGCATTCACACACATTCTCAGAAGAGGGGAAGGAAGAGGTGGGGAGGGGATGTATCACAGTATTCCTGTTACACAGCCATGGCCTTTCTGGAATCAGCTGTTACAGTGGGTGCACTGCATCAGGGTCTCTAGAGGCCACACAAGCTTGCCTGGGGGGTGGGAAGATAGCACTGTCAAGGTTGGTGGGCAGTAGGTAGAAGAGGTAAATTTGAGCTCGCGTGGGCACCTCTGGCAGCCCTCAGCCTAAATCAGGGACTTGCAGAAATCAGATGCCCTCCAGTACTGAGGCAGTATCCATAAAACAAATGTATGTCCTCCTTGTAGCCACAAGAAACTTGTCCTCACATAGCAAATCCCACTTCCCAAGCGTCCATGAGAAAGAAGCAGTCTCCTTGTATGCAGGGCACTCACCTAGGCTTGGCGTAAGGCCAGTGTCCAGATGGCCAGTGGTAAAGCCCACCCCAGCTCTTTTGCGTGTAATTTCTTAAACAGGGACACAGACAGTGGTGTGCTTTGAGGAATGGTGGGTTGAAGACATCTCAGCCTTGAACAAAAGAACTTAACAAGGTGTTAGGAAGGAGCCTGGGCTGCAGAATGTGTAGCCAAAAATAGTGATGCCAGGATGAAATTACACCTGGAAATGTGTAGCACATTTAGGAAGATGACTTGGGGAGAGGATGCATTTCAAGTCTAGTTGAAACATACATTTATCAAACAGGTTTTCTGAGACATCCTCCTAAGTAAGTTAGGTCCCCTGTTCTTTCGGCCCACTTATTCTAGGGGGAATGAACTGGAGGAAAAGGGGAGAGAGATATAATCAGCTGTCTGCTGTATCTCTGGAAAGGGCTTTGCTCTGAGGAGATGTCCAGGAGGACCACTGACGTGTGCCACCTGCAGGAGCTGGTCCCTGACCTCTGGTCCTAGCACCACACCAGTGGTGGTGGGAGTGGCAGTGGTGTAGAGAGAGGTTGGCTGGCCCTCTCCTGGAGTCACTGAGGATGGGGTGTGTGCAGCCCTTTCCCACAGGTTTGCCTCACTGGCCTCCTCTGTTGTTGCCACAACAATGACTTGCCACCTTCTATCTTCCCCTTCTCTGCCCTCATTCCCAGCCTGAGGAAAGCCAACTCAAAGTGTTTTGTTTTTTTTTGTTGTTGTTTTTTTTGCAGTTGCTTTTTGTCCCCTTCAGCCAACCCGAGCTGAAGAAACATTGCAGGGATGGCAGTGGGTCTCCCCCAGCACAGCATAAGCCCCCTCATCCCACTCCATCCTCTGCAGGCCAGTGTGCTTCAAATCATGTGATGGCAGCAAACATTTCTACTTATTTTACATGTGCTGCTGGTAGTGTGTTTATACATCAGCATCCCACTACAGATAAGATGGGCCAGGTACTCAACTGTTTCTGTGGTTTGTCGTCAGAAATGAAATTACTGGAGAGGCCCACTTTCTATGTCATGTGCTTCTAATGTATTTTGTAATCGGAACGAGAAATTAAAGCTTTTTTCCTGCTCCCCAACCCCCCACCCAACCCAGTGCCACCCCTGTATGAGGTCTGGTCTAAGCTGCTGTCATTTCCTTTCAAACTCCTTCATGATCATCTACCAGGACCTCACCAGGCACAAAGAGGTGTTCTGCCACATCTACAACATCTGGGAGATGACAGTCAGATTGTGCCTGGAGGGGAAGATGGTCAGTAGGACAGAGGGTAACATGGATGACTCACTCAGTGGTGGAAATGCCTCCGCTGAGGACCCCAAGGGCACAGTAATCACTGGTGTTGGTATTGTCATGAACCATCATTTGCAGGAAACTAGCTTCACAAAAGAAGCCTACAGGAAGTACATCAAAGCCCTGGCCAGTTGGCTCAGCTGGTTGGAGTGTTGTCCCATATACCGAATGGTTGCAGGTTTGATCCCTGGTCCGGCATACTGGAGGCAGCCCATTAATGTTTCTCTCTCACACCGATATCTCTCTCTCTATCCATAAAACATATGAAAATCTATAAACATATTAAACAATTACAAAGATAAAGAAGTACATCAAAGATTACATGAAATCAGTCAAAGGGAAATTTGAAGAGTCAAGACCAGAAAGAGTAAAGCCTTTTGTGACAGGGGCTGCAGAACAAAGTAAGCATGACCTTGCTAATTTCAAACATTACCAGCTCTTTATAGGTGAAAACATGAATCCAGATGTCATGGTTGTTCCACAGGACTGTGGTTGAGCGTGGTGGGACTATGTATATGATTCTCTTTAAGGATGGTTTAGAAATGGACAATTGTTAACAAATCTAGCAATTTGGATCTATCACCTGTCAGAACCTACTTTAAAAAAAGGACCCTTCCCTTACCCCCACTTCAATAACCAGAGGGATCAGGGAACCTCATATCCCAGTGCGGGGTGGGTGTGAGGGGCTGGGCACACAGATCTGCCCTCAAACTGAAGGTGACACTGGCATCCAGCAGTGGGAAAAACAGGTTTATGAGCCTTGAAATTCCTTGAAATGGAGAAAGAATATCCATAAAATTCAGGATTGCTAGAAAGCCAAGACTTGCTTCTCCAAAGTATTAAATAGAGAATGGGAATAGAAAATCAGAAGTGCAATTCATAGCACTCGGAATGACAAAGGAACAGGCCATGTGTGCACGTATTGAAAGCTAGAAAATAACTATATCATCCCAATGTGTTACATTCCAGGTGCTGAACTAGGCAATTTGCACTTATTATTTCATTTAATCCTCATAACAACCCAAGAAGATAGGTATTACCACCTTGTTTTGTGGAGGAAATTCTTGTATGTTTAGCATGTGCCCCAAGTCATACAGCTTAACTGGGTTGTAGCTGAACTGGGTTGTAACTCAGGAGGATGAACGTGATCACTATGTCAGCAGCTGACATGTACACTGGCTCACAGTGCCCACAGTGTCATGGCTGAGACATGAGACAAATTCACACAGACTACCGACTCCTGTGGAGGAAAAGGGACTGCACAGCTACTCCCTCAAGGGGGAAGAGCCTCAGAATGGCCTGGCCACCCTCTCAAGGGGAGAGCAGCTTGGAGCATGCTGACCCTTGCCTAGACAGGCTTTTATTGTTTTTTTTTTTTTTGCACAGGAGTTCAGGTACAACTTATTAATCATTGTCAGGCAGTAAACAGTAGATAGTATACAAAGAACCGTTAGGCTTCTTCTAAATCAGGGTCTATCAGCTAAAAGGCTACAGAACTTTGGGAACATAAACTCTTTTTCTGCTCGGGCCTTTGACATTTAACTAAAAACATTCTTAGCAAAGCAGGCCTCACAGGATTGTTAGGAATTCTTTCTCATGCCAGATCACCCGGGGAATTCGCCATTCTCAGCACAAGGCTGTACCACCCTCTGGCCTTGTTTTCAGGCTTAAGTCATGCAGAAGAGGCAGATAGCCAAGGAATTTAGGAGACCTCTCACAGACAGACTGAGGACTCAGGCTTCGTCAAAGCTGGAGGGCAAGGGTCCATCACCCCCTTTCTCCATAGCCCCCAAGTCCTTCCCTGGGGCCTCCACATGATCATGCCTATCTGTGTCATTCCCCGCTTGGAGAATCTTACCATCATTGGCTAACTGATCAATCATTGGAGGCCAGTTATGGAAAAAGGAGCAGAAATGGTGCTCCTCCCAGGGAGAGAGAGGACTCCCACAAGGCAGCACCTGGAGGACTTGGCAGTCCCACATTTGCATGTGGATAAACCAGGAAGAACAACTGGGGAGCAAGACAGATAACACAACACAGGGTTCCAGCACTGGAAAAGAAAGCCTCAAAATCTGTGGCTGTAAAAACTGTGAGTAGGACTTCTGGCCAAGATGGAGGCATAGGTGGAAACATTGTGCCTCCTTGCAAACCAAGTTTAAAAACAAAGTTTTAGTAACAAAAACACAACCAAAACACAGAAATTGAACTGTATGGAAGTCCGACAACAATGAACCATTCAGCCAGACTGATAAACCAGGCAGAGGAGCGAGCAGTGAGACAGACCATGCAAACCAGGGCTCCAGTGACAGGAATTAAAGCCTAAAAGCACCAACTGGAAAAAAAAACTTTCAGGGTCGAGGTGCTGGGAGAAGCTCCCAGGCTCACAGAGAGTTTATTGGAGAGACCAACAGGGTCCTAGAGGGTGCACAGGCCCACACACCTGGGAACCAGCACCAGAAAGGGCGAATTTGCTTGTGGGAAGCAGCAGTGGGGACCAAAATCCGAGAGAGAGCAGAACAAACGCCATTGCCCCTCTCTGACCCCACCCCCACATATAGCATCACCACCCAGCAACCTGGGTGGCCCCGCCATGGTGAACACCTCAGGTGCCTCTCCTCATATGGAACAGGCACCAACAAATCAAAACATGGCTCAAGAAGAACAGCTCAAAGCCCCAGAGCCAATACTTCTAAGCGACCAAGGGATAGCTAACCTATCAGATGCACAGGTCAAAACACTGGTGATCAGGATGCTCACAGAACTGGTTGATTTTGGTCACAAACTAGAGGAACAAATGAAGGCTAAACTAAGTGAAATGAAGGGAAATGCACAGGGAACCAATAGTGATGGAAAGGAACCTGGGACTCAAATCAAGGGAGTGGACCAGAAGGAAGAAAAAAATGACCAAACAGAAAAGAATGAAGAAACAAGAATTCAAAAAAATAAGGAGAGGCTTAGGAACCTCCAGGACATCTTTAAACGTTCCAACATCCAAATTATAGGGGTACCAGAAGGGGAAGAGGAACAGCCACAAGTGGAACACTTATTTGAACAAATAATAAAGGAGAACTTCCCCAATCTGGCAAAGGAAATAGACTTCCAGGAAATCCAGGAAGCTCAGAGAGTCCCAAAGAAGTTGGACCCAAGAAGGAACACACCAAGGCACATCATAATTATATTAGCCAAGATTCAAATGAAGGAGAGAATCCTAGAAGCAGCAAGAGCTAAGGGGACAGTCACCTACAAAGGAGTTCCCATCAGACTGTCAGCGGATTTCTCAAAAGAGACCTATGGATGAATTCCATTCATTTAGAATGGAAGGGCAGATAAAGTGCTTCTCAGATAAGGTCAAATTCAAGGAACTCATCATCACCAAGCCCTTATTATATATTAAATGTTAAAGGGACTTATCTAAGAAAAAGAAGATAAGAAATATGAACAGTGAAAGGACAGCAAACTCACAGTTATTAATAACCACACCTAAAACAAAAGCAAACTAAGAGGACAGCTAGATCAGGAGTGAACCATAGAAATGGAGATCACATGGAGGGTTAGCAACAGGGGATTGGGAGGAGGAGAAGGGGGGGAAGGTACAGAGAATTAGTAGCATAGATGGTACGTAGAAAATAGACAAGAATAGTATGGGAAATATAGAATCTAAAGAACTCGTGACACATAGACATCAACTAAAGGGGGGAAATGGGGGAGGGGGTGTGCAGGGTGGAGGGGAATGAAGGGGGTAATGGGACAACTGTAATGGCATAATCAATAAAATATATTTTTAAAAAACTGTGAATGTTGCAGCAGTGTTAAAAACTCCCAGCCTCACAGGAGAGTTTGTCAGAGAGACTCACAGGGTCCTAGAACATACACAAACACACTCACCCAGGAATCAGCACCAGAAGGGCCCAAATTGCTTGTAGGTAGTGGGGGAAGAGACTGAAAGTGGTACAAGAACCGAGCAAATGGCACTTTTCCCTCTCTGATCCCTCCCCCACATACAGCGCCACAACACAGTAACATGAGTTACCCTGCCCTGGCTAATACCTAAGGCTCCACCCTTACAATGTAAAAGATACAGAGACAAAGAAATATGGCCCAAATGAAAAAACAGATCAAAACTCCAAAAGTTGAACTAAGTGATGAAGAGACAGCCAACTTATCAGATGCAGAGTTCAAAACACTGGTAATTGGGATGCTCACAGAAATGGTCGGGTATGGTCACAAAACAGAGGGAAAAGTGAAAGCTATGCAAAGTGAAATAAAAAAAAATTGTGTGTGTGTGTGTGTGTGTGTGTGTGTGTGTGTGTGTGTGTAACCAAGAGTAAAGGGAAGAAAATCAGAACTCAAATCAATTATTAGGAACAGAAGGAAGAAATAAACATTCAAACAGAACAAAATGAAAAAATAAGAATTTAAAAAATGAGGAGAGGCTTACAAATCTCCAGGACAATATTAAACATTTCAACATCCAGAGCATAGGGGTGCCAGAAGGAGAAGAAGAAGAGCAAGAAATTGAAAACATATTTGAAAAAATAATGAAGAAAAATTTCCCCATCTGGCAAAGGAAATAGACTTCCAGGAAGTCCAGGAATCTCAAAGAATCCCAAAGAAGTTGGACTCAAAGAAGCACACACCAAGGCACATCATGATTACATTTCCCAAGGTTAAAGATAAGGAGAGAATCTTAAGAGCAGCAAGAGAAAAGGAGACAGTTACCTACAAAGAAGTTCCCATAAGACTATCAACTGAAAAGAAAGGTCTCAAAAGAAGCATTGCAGGCAAGAAGGGGCTGGAAAGAAGTATTCAGAGTCATGAAAGGCTAGGATCTACATCCAAGATTATTCTATCCAGCATAGCTATCATTTAGAATGGAAGGGCAGATAAAGTACTTCCCAGGTAAGGTCAAGCTAAAGGGGTTTATCATCACCAAGCCCTTATTACATGAAATGTTAAAGGGACTTACCTAAGGAAAAGATCAAAACTATGAACAGTGAAATAACAACAAACTCACAATTATTAAACTGAATCTTAGTAAACAAAAACCAAAACAAACAAAGTGAACAACTAGAACAGGAACAGAATCACAGAAACAGGGATCACATGGAGGGTTATCAGCAGGGAGGGGAAGAGGGGAGAATGGGGGACAAAGCATAGCTAGTAAGAAGCATAAATGGTAGGTACAAATAGACATGGGGAGGTTAAGAATAGTATAGGAAATGTAGGAGCCAAAGAACTTACATGTATGACCCATGGACATGAACTAAAGGGATTAAGAATGCTGGAGGGAGGTGGGTGGAGGGTGGAGGGGAATAAAGGGGAGGAAATATGGGACAACTGTAATAGCATAATCAATAAAATATGCTTAAAAAGAAGAATGTTTGGTGGAATGTTATCACTAATTTATCAGTGTCTACCTGAATAAGGCCTCTAGCCCAGGACACAATCCAGGGCTCTGGCCTTAGTCCTTTCATGTCCCCCATCTTCCCAGTTACT